TGCCTCGTGGGCCACCGGCTCTTTCTCAAGGAGCCTGGTCGGCGGCCGCGGAGTCTGCCAATGCTCTGGCCGACATCCCGTCGACTATGGGCCTGGTCTCCGTTCGGCGCCAGGCCCAGGATGAGCTCAACACGCGGACTTTCTCGTCGGCGGTCGACCCGATCAACTACGACCAGGATGAGGAGGAAGAGAACCGTGGTCATGTTCCCGATGCCGCTCGAGATCAGGCCAGGGAGGATCGTTCTTTCTCCAGGTCCACGGCAAAGCTCACACCTCAGCTCTTTGCCGAGTTGACGGGGCCGGGGTCCTCGTTCGGATCGGGCCGCTCGGCGCCTGCAGCAGCTAGTCCTCGTCGGTCACAGTTCGCGAGGTCATCGAGGCGGACTCTGAAGCCGGGGATCCCCACAATTTGCTCGGCCCCGTGGGAGAGCCGACCTCGTTCAGGCCGCACAGGACGCCGTAAGCGCGATCTGTGTTCACAGGAGCCCGAATTTTGGTTACTCTCTCGGGCTTGTGCTCAGGATTGAGCGATTTAATTTCTTGCTCTGATGTGCAAACCCGTTTTTGGTCACCGACTCTCAAGGCGACCCGCTCGGGAAGAGCCAAAAAGGGGGGAACTGTGCAGTTTCGGGAAGAGACTGAGCAGTTCACACTCTTGCTCCGGCCTTACAGTTCTGCAGTGAAGTTCTGACATGTCTTTTTGTCCTTAGGCACAGTTCTGCGCATGTCCATGTTCATGGCTTGCTGTGTGACATGTCATGCTGCCTGGCACTTTCTTTCTTGCGTTCGCGGTCGCACGTTCGCCCTCGCTTCGTTCGGGGGGGGGGGGCGGGACAGTGCATATATGTTCGCTGCGCGAGATCGATTTGCATGATGTCTTTTGATGCTCGTCCGCAGGGCTCGGCAGGATGCTGCAGGACGCGGCGCCCGCCGATCGGTGGACAGCAAAATTGCTCGCTTATCCGTGTTTCGATCATGGCTTTAGGCAGGCTATCCTGTCCACTCGGCTGGCGAATTTACAGTTTGTTCTCGCCGTGGAAGCCGAGTCCCCCGGGCAGTTCGCCGCGCAAGTGTTCGAGTGGACAGCTAGCTCGGCTAAGGAGGCTCACGAGTCGCTGGCGCTTCGAACTCACATGCTCGAACAGTTCTGGACGTTTGCTCGAGCGGCCGAGGCGCATTCACCGACTCGCTGGGGTACTAGATGGGACTCGCTCGCTGCTCGAAGATCCCGAGAGAAAGATCGGCGACATCGATCGCACA